GGAAAGAAGGAAGACTATCAATGGTAGAAGAGAAGAAAGGCTTTCAGTAAGAGTGAAAGTGGTTAATTTTGTGGAAGACTGTTGCAAGCCTCATCCCTCAAGCCTTGTGACACCTGCTATGTGACAGGCACAAGGCCTGGTTCTTGAGATATTAATAACCGGATGTTGAGGGCCTGCAGGTGGCATGGTGGTTGGGGCACTGGATTCCCACATGAGCAACTACAGTTCAAGTCCCAGACCTGGCGGCTTGCCTTCTCCCTTATATATTATATATTATTATTATTAAGATTGCATTGGGAGTTGGCAAGTCAAGTAAGATCTAGAAAACAAGAACTTCCACAATGCTGTCAAGAGACATTGCTGTTTAAATGGTTGATCGTGAAATCCAGTCTAGCTAGAAACAGCAGAGGAATCAGAAGTGAGAGATTGACTGAGCCTCAAGAATAGTGAGTACTAAGAAACCAGAGGGTAAACAGAAGGTGAAATGCAGGGACCAACAGATGGCATAATGGCTATGTCGCTGGACTCTCATGTAGTCAACTGTGGTTCAAGTCCTGGACCCAGCAGCTTAAACTCATGCCAGGTACGTGTGTGTGCATGCCCAAAATCCCAAGAGGAAAATGGAGGAGAGGGGATTGTGGTATGGCCATAGCCCTGGAGTGGTGATTTCTTGGGGCCAGCAGGTGGTGTGATGGTTAAGGTGGCTGGACTCCCACATGGCTGACCATGGTTCGAGTCCCAGACCTGGCAGTTTGCCTTCTCACTTTTCTTCTCTCTCTGTCTCTCTTGGGTCAACTTCAATAAAATAAATAAATTAATAAAATAATGACAATGAATAAAATAAAATAAAATAATTCTTTAAAAGAAAAAGAGGGGGGTACCAGCAGTTAGCATAATGGCTATGTCATTGAACTCCCATGTAGTTGACTGCAGTTCGAGTCCCAGACCTGGTGGCTTAAAACTCACACTGGGCACGTGTGCGTGAGTGCCCAAGATCCCGAGAGGAGAATGGAGGAGAAGGGATTGCGGCATGGCCATCCCCCCTGGGGGGGGGTAATTTCTTGCTTTCTGTCTCTCTGTCTCTCTTTGTCTGTCCGGCAAGTGCACGCTCCCTATAGCAAAAACCTCTCAAAAAAAAAAAAAAAAAAAGGGGAAATCAGATGGAGGGAAGAAATATTTTCTACTTTGCTAGGAATCTGTAGTTCTGAAACCATAAGTCCTGTTGTCTTTTGAAATCCCTTGACTACTCAAAGTTAAATTTCATTAAAATTTTTAACTCATTTCATTGTGCTGTATTTCAGAATGACAACTCAGGACATAGGAACAGTAGTTTTCTAGAAAGTCCAAAACTTGCAAGTCTGGGCTTCCCTAAGGTCCAGGATCCAGCAGCAGAGGATGATTCGGAGCTCGATTTGGCACTGGAGCCCATGCTGGAGTCAGAACAGACTGGGATGGATCTGGACCTAGACCTGGATCAGGAGCTGGAGCCTGATTCTGAGCTGGATCCGGATGCAGAGCTCAGGCTCGAAGCTGAGCCTGAGACTGAGCCTGAGCACGAGCCCGAGCTTGAACCTGAGCCTGACCAGGAGTTGAAGGGGGAGCCCGAGGACAAACCCAGGCCCAAATCTAGGGCTCGCGCTCCTCGTGGGCAGCGGTACTGGCCCCCATATCGGTCTGTGGCTCCCAGGTCTTCATCTCAAACTCCACCTTGGACACGGTCAATGGAGAGGAGGCATCACCCTGCGGATTCGTACTCGCCCGAGGGCAACAACAAGGATGCCTAGGAGAGGACATGGGAATAAGACGTCAGTTAACCTTGGCGAATCCTCTCCCTCCAAAAGGGGTCACTCGGTCAAGAGACCTAGATCAGACACGAAGCAGCTGTACCTGTTTCGTGACTCCCTCACCTGCCGGCCTTCTTTACTCAGCACTGGGATCGTACCCCAGAAGGCATTGCTAAGTGCCGACCATCACCTCTGACTCCCTGTCCAGGCCCCCTTCATCTCGCCTTCAGCAGATTCTATTGGTGGATTTCCTTCACACACCCTACGTTTCTGGGCTTTGTGCCAGACCATCTCTAACTCACTCCTCTCATCTCTATACATGACGCTCAAATAAAATACATAACTTCAGTTACATTTGGGTCCTTTCTTTTCTTTTCTTTTTTTTTTTTTTTTTTGAGAGCTTTTTGCTATAGGGCTCGTGCGCTCACCAGAGAGACAAACAGACAGAAAACGAGAAATCACCCCCAGGAAGAACGGCAACGCCGCAATCCCTTCTCCTCCATTCTCCTCTTGGGATCTTGGGCACACACGCACACACGCCCAGCATGAGTTTAAGCTACCGGGTCTGGGACTCAAACCACGGTCGACTACTTGGGAGTCCAGTGACATAGCCATTACGCCAACTGCTGGCCCCCATTTGAGTCCTTTCTGTACCTTCCCTCTTCTCTGTAATCTGTATTCCTAAGGAAATACCAAATGGGAGGGATTCCAGAAGAAAGTGAATGTGGTGAAGGAGAGATGTAGCGTCTGTATCTTCTATCCAAGGGATCTTCACTGCAGTGATGGGAGGAATGGGGAAGTGGCAGGATAAGCCAGGCCACAGGTAAGCCTTGCCGTACAAAGACCAGCTAAGCTCCCAGCACTTCTGCTGTAACTCCCAGAAGTCAAGATCTTACCTGGTTTCATGAGGCCAGTGAGCTCGAGCAACATTAGCTTTTGGGAACTTCCCCTTGTCAGTTTCAGATCCACCACTACTTTTTCTTTACATGGCTTTAAGACACAAACCATCTGGAATATGTACTCTAGGTAGACCAGACTTAGTTCAAATCCATGGTATACACAGAACCTCTAGGAATCAAAACAGTCAGTCATTGCTAGTGATATCCATTAAAAAATTTCCCTTAGGATCAGCAGTTGGTGTAATGGCTATGCTGCTGGACTCCCATGTAGTTGGCCACGGTTCGAGTCCCGGACCTGGTGGCTTAAACTCATGCCAGGCATGTGTGCATGCGTGCACAAGATCCCAAGAGGAGAATGGAGGAGAAGGGATTGCAGTGTGGCCATCCCCCCCGGGGGTGATTTCTCACTTTCTGTCTCTCTGTCTCTCTTTGTCTTTCTGGTGAACACACGCACCCTACAGCAAAAACCTCTCAGGAAAAAAAAAATCCCTCTTTTTCAGTAAAAACTGTCTAGTATTAAGCTATGACTAGAGGAAAAATAGAGACTCCTGAACAAAGGTATGAAATCTGGAATTTTAGTTCCAACTCAATAAACATGACTTCTCCTGCCTGGGTACTCAGTTTCACTGGTTTGTTAAATTAAAGTCTTTGTAAAATACATACACCATCTGGGCCCGCAGGTGCTGTCATTGTTAAGGTGTTGGACTTCCACACGGCCGACTGTGATTCAAATCCCAGACCCAGTAGCCTGAAAATCATGCCAGGTACCCATATGTGCATGCACGAAACCCCAAGAGGAGAATGGAGAAGGGATTACAGTATTTCGCTCCCCCTGGGAAGTGCTTCCTCACTATCTCTTTCTTTGTCTCTGTCTCTCTCCTGTGAATGCCTGCGCCCTATGGCAAAAACCTAAAAAAGAATAGAAAGACAAGACAAGACACTGGTTATCATAGAGATAATATAGGCATTTATTTATTCTACAAGCATTTCAAAAAGCACCTGCTACATGCGTAGCACCTCATACTGTAGGACAGATAAAACAGTATTATCTCAACTTTCTGCATGCATAAACAGAGACCGAGGTTTTGTGACTAGCCTAAGGTCACATACACTATGACCATTGTATACACAAAGAGAGGCCAGAGCCCAAGTCACACACTTCACTTTTTCATGATTACTCAACACGTTCCGTTTATGAAACTCCTACTATGTGCCGGGCACTGTCCCCGGTGCTGAAGGTACAGGATGAGCAGAATGGATGATGAAAATCATTCTAACTGGTGTATCTTGAAAGTAAAATATGGGAAGTTCTGTGGGCATGCATCAGAAGGGCCTGACCTAGTCTTCAGTGTCAAGAAAGTTCTTCCTAAGACAATGACATATGACCTGGGATCCGATGGTTGAATACGAGTTAGGCTTAAGACAAATTCCGATGACTGCTAGGAAGGCAGAGACAAATGGGAAACCGAAAGTGGTGAACGTGGACGAGAACAGAAGCCAAGCGTTTGGGGAGTGGCCAGATAGAGCCTGTGGGTAACCACTGTAACTCCAAGGGCTCAGCCAGAAATGGGGGCAAATGAGGAATACGTTTTCAGGGTAGCAGGGGATGGTGGAGAAGTCTGTCAAAACTGGGGCCAGCAAATGGCATAGTGGTTACGTCACCGGACTCACACATGGCCAACCGCAGTTTGAGCCCCAGACCTGGTGGCTTGAAGATCACCACGTGAGCCGGGTCTGTTAGCTCACGTTTCACAGCATGATTATCATGAAAGGTTCTGTCTCTCTAATAAGAAACGAGAGAGGGTAACCCTGTGGTGTGGTGGTCAAAGTGGCTAGATCCCACACAGCCGACTGTGTGACTCAAGTCCTAGATCCATAGGTTTGAAAAAGATGCTGGGTGCATGTATACCCCAAATCCCAACAGAAGGGAGAAGGGATTGTAGCCCTGCCATACCCCCTAGGGAGCACTTTCTCACTGTCTCTCTCTAACACGTGCATGCACCTGCAGCAACTTTTACATCAAAAAGAAATTGGAGAAAATTTCTAAAGATGGCAAAACCAGTAGAGATTGCATCTGAAAGTGTAAATGCCTTACCACAAGATGTTTCCCAGTACTGGGGAGAAAAACCCTCAAAGCAGCTGTGTTATACAGTACCCAGGCTTTGGGCAACTATCTGTATATGCAAAGATCTAAGTAAGTTCACAGAAATAAACAAAAGTGTATAGAAAAGGGACTGGCTGGGACCAGCAGACAGCATAATGGTTACATCGCTGGACTCCCATGTAGTCAATTGTGGTTTGAGTCCCAGACCTGGTAGCTTAAAACTCACGCTAGGCATATGTTCACGCATGCCTAAAATCCTAAGAGGAGAATGGAGAAGGGATTGCGGTGTGGCCATCCCTGCTTGGTGTGTGTGTGTGTGTGTGGGGGGGGGGGTGTGATTTCTCACTTTCTGTCTGTCTCTCTGGTGAGGGCGCGCACTCTATAGAAAAAAATCTCTCAAAAAATAAAAAAAGAGGGCTGGTTAAAATATAGGTAACTCCAGACAGCTGTCTCTGAATATGTTAATTTGTCACAAAGTCCAAGAACTCAACAGGTTACATTTGAATCAACTCTGAATTATCAGCACAAATAGAGGGAGTGATGCCATAACCCATGGTTATTGATGACGGGACGATAGAATCTCCACGCCTGGAAGGCTATGGGGTTGTCTATTCTACTTGCCTATCTAATGATTTACAATTAAATTCAATAAATGGTAAGATGCTTACCATATCCTAAATAATATGTGTTGTAGCAGTCTATTGCTATGTAACAAACTCTCCCAAAATGTAGGGGTTTAAAGCAATAATCACTCAATTGCTCATGAGTCTACAATCTACGTTGCCTGGAGCTGTCATCTGGAGCTCTAACTGGGGCTGGAAGCCAAGCATGGCTTTATTGGCACATCTGACACTTCAGCTGGGAGGGCTAGAAAACCTGGTTGCTGGGCCAGCATCTCTCTCCAGTCTCTCTAGGAGTTTACTAGACTTTACTCAGTGGCACAAGGCGGAGTACCACTTCTACAACCTTCTGTTAATCAAAGGAAGTGACACAGCAAACCTTGGCTCGGTGTGAGGGGAAATGCACTGCGCTCCTGGAAGGGGGGAGGAGCGAAGAATTTGTGGCCACTTGTCACCCACCACACTACGGTGAGTAGGAATGTAAGAACATAACTCCGATGTAATTTCTGCTGGCAATTCCCAGCTACAAACAGGCCTTGTAGAACGGGAACGTCATGGATTCCTAAGTGATTCCAGTGCAATATGGAAAGGAGGTGAGAAGAAAAACTAAGAAAACAGAGACAACAGGAGAGGTTAGAATGATCGTGGGTCAGGGAAAACTACTAAGAGGAAATGACATTTGTGCTGGGCATTAATAATAAGTAGGGGGCGAGCCTGTGGCCTGGTAGTGAAGGTGGCTGCGTCCCACATGGTGACCATATAGATCAAGTCTAGACCAACTAGCTTAAAAAACAGCAGACGTGTGTGTGTGTGTGTGTGTGTGTGTGTGTGTCCAAATTCCAAAAGGAGAGAGAAATGGAGAAGGGATGGCAGCACACCCTGAGGGAGAGTGCTTTCTCACTTTTCCTCTCTCCCCAGGCAGTGTGCACTCCCTCTGACAAATTTAAAAAGGCATAAGTAGGAGGCCAGCCCCGAAGCACTATTCAGAGGGAGCGAGATCCCACGCCACTGACTGCAATTTGAATCCCGACTCTGGTGACTTGAAAAACACTAGCATGTGTGCACGTACGCCCCAAGTCCCGATGAGATGGAGACCTGGAGGGAAAAGGACTGCACCATGACCCTGCCCATTGGGAAGTGAGCTCTCTCTAGGTCTCCCCCTGACCTCGCACATGCCCTCTGGCAATTAAAAAAAAGAATACATAGTAATTACCCTGTATGATTGAAAAAGAGAAATATACAGTACTATCTGCAAAGTAACCTTGCCTCCCCCCCCCCAAAATTGATCTAGATTATTAGGTGGGTCCAACTACCAGATTATTGGAAATAACAGGGCGCACTATGTGTTTGATGATACTGTAATAGGAGGGTACACTCAGAAGGATCCAGAAAACTCGGGGGCTGGACGGTGGTGCCAGAGTAAAGCATGATGCCCTAAGAGGCAGACCCACATGGGAGGGCTTGGCGTTCACTTTCAGAGACATTCCTGAGGATACCGGGCACACACATGCTTACACCCTGGAGCTGGCTGAAGCTGGGGGTGGATCGCAGCATGAGAACCCAGTTAGGGTCCTCTCTCTCTCTCTCTCTCTCTCTCAGAAGAAATAAGAAGAGGAGAGAAGCAACAGCAGCAGCAGCATCCAGATAGCTCAACAGGACAGCGAGCCAGTTTCTTCAACAAAAAGATGAAAACAAGCACAGC